GGGCTCTGCCAAAAAAAAAAAAAAAAAAACCAAAATGTAAAAAGATAACAAACTCAAAGGGAAAATTTTAACAAGGATTTTGTATACAGCCAAACCGTTTTTCATATATAAAAGACCATAAGAAAAGCAGCTGTGTGCAATGAATCATGTTTGTAATCTCTAATACTAGAGAAATTAAAGTGGGAAGATTGAGGTCAGAAATTTGAAACCAGCCTGGGAAATATAGGAAGATCCTTTCCACATTAAAGAAAAAAAAAAAAGTCAAGCACAATGGCTACATCCTACCACTCTGGGAAGTGAAATGTGAGAATAAGTTGAGTTCAGGAGTTTGAGATCACCCATCTCTACAAAAAATTATCTAGGCTCGGCACTTGTGGCTCAAGTGGCTAAGGCACCAGCTACTACACCTAAGGTGGCGGGGTTTGAGTCCAGCCCGGGCCCGCCAAACAACAATGATGACTGCAACCAAAAAATGGTCAGGTGTTGTGGCGGGCGCCTGTGGTCCCAGCTACTTGGGAGGCGGAGGCAGGAGACTTGCCTGAGCCCAGGAGTTGGAGGTTGATGCCTCGGCATTCTACCTAGGGGGACAGCTTGAGGCTGTCTCAAAAAAAAAAAAAAAAAAATTATCTAGGCATGGCAGTATGGTCCTATAGTCCCATCTACTTGAGAGGCTGAGGCAGGAAGATTGCTTCAGTCTAGGAGTTTGAGGTTGTAGTGAACCACAATGACTCACTACATGCTAACCCCAGGCAACAGAGTGAACCTGTCTCAATGAATCAATCACTATAGACTATAGAAAAAGTGTCAAACATGCAAGAAATCAGGAGGTACTACAGTCACAAGCCCCTTTGTGTTTTTTTTTTTTTTTTGGAGTATTAGCCTTTTATTTTTAATACCTATTATCCCATGAATTCATAGGGAAAACACTCAGCAGCACAAGAAGGCACCTTGCCATTGAATGTGACGAAGCTTTGTATGACTATTATGCCATGAATTCACGGGGAATTATATTACTGTTATATGGGTCTCTTAGTTACTGTGTGTGCTGTGCTGTGTACACCTATTATCCCATAAACTCAAGGGGGAATAAATAGGTTCCAGCACATTATATCACTATTCCTTTGGTTTTCTTGGTTCTCCTGTGTGCTACGCTCAGGAGCTCAGATTCCAGGAGCTCAGGTCCCTTTTTCATTGGTTCTCATAAAGTGTGCTTCTCTAGGTGGAGTAGGCTGGCACTTCAGTTGAACCCAGGTACCTTTCTCTTTGGCTTCCTTCTTTTTCTGATCATTTCCTTCATGTGTTTCAGGAAGCTATCTCAGCTCTTAAGAGTGCTTAATACATTCAATACAAACATTAATCCTCTTGACAAGAATCTTGCCCTTAACTTGTTTGTTTACAACAGTGCCTATAGCATGCTGGGTAACCCTGTTGACACATTTTGTTTTGCCATGGTAACATTTGTGTAGCATGCCTTTTTGAACAGTATCCATTCCCTTGATGTCTGCAATATCATCTTTCTTGTAGATTCAAATATTTGTGGCCGAAGGAACAACTCAATGTTTTCTAAAAAGTCCTAGACAACATGTATCAGGTGCCTCTCCTCTCCCTTTCTGTTTGTCATTTGGTGAATTACTGGAAGATGGCATCTCCGGCCGAAAGGCTTTTTTTTGAGACAGAATCTCACTCTGTGGTCCTAAGTAGAGGGCTGTGGCATCATGATAGCTCACCTCTTGCCTCAGTTTTCTATTTTTAGTAGAGACAGGGTCTTATTCTTGCTCAGGCTAGTCTCCAACTCCTAAGCTTAAGCAATGCACCCACCCGTCCCACCCCACCCCACCCCACCTTCTCAGAGTGCTAAAATTATAGGAGTGTGCCACTATACCCCGCCTCACAAAGCCCTGGGCAAATCCAATGAAGAATGAGCATCATTCAGCCAAAAAATGATTATACAAACTTTGGCAAAAGAACTGAGTATAGGGCGGTGCCTGTGGCTCAGTGACTAGAGCGCCAGCCCCATATACCGAGGGTGACAAGTTCAAACCTGGCCCCAGACGAACTGCAACCAAAAAATAGCTGGGCGTTGTGACAGGCACCTATAGTCCTAGCTACTCAGGAGGCTGAGGCAAGAGAATAGCTTAAGCCGAGCCAGGAGTTGGAAGTTGCTGTGAGCTGTGTGACACCACAGCACTCTACCAAGGGCAACAAAGTGAGACTTTGTCTCTACCAAAAAAAAAAAAAAAAGAACTGAGTATAATTTTTATACGTTTTAATATATTTAATTTTAGATTGAACACTGAAAGTAAAAATGAAATTCAAGAAAAATATGTAGGCTGGGCATGGTAGCTCACGTCTGTAATCTTAACACTCTGGGAGGTCAAGATGGGTGGAATGCTTGAGCTCACAATTTCGAGACCAGCCTGAACAAAAGTGAGACCCCCGTCTCTACTAAAAATAGAAAATCTGAGGCAAGAGGATCACTTGGACCCAAGAGTTGGAGGTTCGCAGTGAGCTATGATGCCACAGCACTCTACCCAAGGAGACAGAGCTTGAGACTCTGAATCAAAATAAAAAAAAAAAAAACAGAAAAATACATAAATGTTATGTTATAATAACATAAATGTATAAAATTGCAAGAATCAAATACATACTGTCTATAAAGGAATAGATAAGTTAAAAGTTAAAATATCAATAAATGTTACTGTAAAAACTGGATACCCACACACAAAATGTGAAAAGTTGGACCACTGCCTTACACCAGATATAAAAACTAACTCAAGGCAGCACCTGTAGCTCAGTGGGTAAGGTGCTGGCCATATGCACCCAGGCTAGTGGGCTCAGACCCAGCCCTGGTCAGCTAAACAACAATGACAACTGCAACAAGAAAATAGCTGGACATTGTGGTGGGTGCCTATAGTCCCAGCTCCCAGCTACTTGGGAGGCTGAGGCAAGAGAATCACTTAAGCCCAAGAGTTTGAGGTTGCTGTGAGCTGTGACCCCACAGCACTCTACCAAAGGCAACATAGACTCCCACGACACTCTACCAAGGGTGACTCTGTCTCAAAAAAAAAAAAACTAACTCAAAATGAATCAAAGAGGCTGGGCACCCATAGCACAGTGGTTACGGCACCACCCACATGCCCCAAGGGTGGTGGGTTCAAAC